AGCCTCTATGATTACTTTTTGCTTGTTAACTGCACATGCGCGTAATCCATTCAATCTCGTTTGCAAGAAATTTCATTTGGGCTAGACGTAACACTTCACAAGCGTGAACAGCAGTGCTACTCACTTCCTGGTCCTTTTTCTGATAACGCATTGTACTCAACTATGCTCTACAAAATAAAAATGATTGCTGGACTTCAAGCAACCGCTTAAACACGATATATCTACATGTTTCAGCTCTTCACGTGCTGTGGATGGTGACATGTAGACGCTAAACGCAAACGAAAAATTACTCATCATCTCACAAAGGTGGCGGCGCGGTCATATCCTTAATTCTGTTCACGATCAGCTATAAACGATGTAGACGACTCGTACAACACATGTCCTTCCTCGCTTTACAACTGATCTCACTCTCTTTCTCTTTTCTTGTTCGATGGTGTGTGCGAATAAAATATTGGTTAAGCAAAGCGATTTCGCACACCTTTTTTACGATTGATTCAACGTCGTGGTCGTTGACACCAACTTCTGATGAAAGGTAGAGGTGATCATCGGCAGTTAGGTAATAGCGAGCTGGGCGCAAACCGTTTCGGTCCAGGATCGCACCAACGTACCGCCCATCAGAAAATGCCAACAAAGCTGAAAGAATTCTTTTCTTATTTTAACGTGCAAAACACATATACAGTACTCAAAGCGAAAAAACTTGATTTTAAGATGGTTGCAGTAAAATTTCTTTCAAACTCCACTTTAGAAAACATCGCCAGATCATTAATATTTCCAAACAGTCGTTTTAGCACGGAAACCATGATACCGTTCTAATCCGTTAATCACTGCTCCTACTATCATTCTTCAATATGATCAAGTGATAGTCAGAAAAACGCAAAATTCATAAGCTTGCAGACATAGTCTTATCCTAAAAATGTCCTTTCAGGTTTTCTAACACTTCTACATATTCACGTTTGCTAAGAAGAATGCATGTAGAGCACATCCATTTCTCTCAAATGTATTCTAATTTTCATATTTGCTTTTCAAAACATAAATTTTACTGAATTTTCTTGATAAAGTTTGAGAGGTTTTTGACTCAAATTTAAAATCAATCTAACCATTTCCCAGAACAATAAAAACCAGAGTTTCGTGTGTCCAAAGCTCAGCGCTGGTTTTATTTATAGTGGGTAATATAAACATAAGCTATATCTAAAGTATATCTGAGCACCTTCAATCTTCTTTGGGTAGGCAAAGGAGCTGACTTTGAAAGGATCTACCTATAGCCTATTCTGCTATATATGTCTCAATCAAAGTTCATCCAAGATTTTTAATTCAGGTACCCTCGACAACATACTTAACCTAAAGCGGGTAAAAAGGACTTGAAATATGAGCCCATATCATCGATTATGGCTAATTGAAGCACAACATGCTATTGCGTGATTCAAGTTTTTAGTGCGTGAGAATAGTTTTGAAATAAACATAGACTTTGGATATGGCGTCTGGGTGCTCAACCATTTGACTGTCTTTGAAAAACGCATTTTTTGAATATAATGT